AAGATCTTGAAAACAGCTGGGTTAAAAGCACAGGAGGCATTTGAGTAGTATTTAAAACGCCTCGAGAAGAACTTTGAACGCCGGAGACTCCTAAATTTTCGAAAGTTACCACGTGTAGCGACAGCGGTAGCACCAACGTCTACATTTGCGCTGAAAAATACTCGTGGCCAAGAAACGATCTTTCCTGATTGTGCACGATTGTAATAATAGTCGAAGAGGCCATTGTTGCCCAAAGAAGCCAAGAATATCGCCAAGACAGCTGTACTCACGAGAGCATAACCTTCCGCCATATTGTTTGTGTCATTATACTAAAGCTAAAGAAACAAAATATCATATAGAGCAGTATAACGAGATTGTTCTGAAACAGTTGAAAGAAAGAATAGTAGAGGTAGCTCACGGTAAAGAGTTCTACTTGCCTCATAAACCAGTGATTACGCAGTCAGCATAGACAACAAAGTTAAGGGTCTTGTATGATGGTCTGCACTCGATAATGAAAAAGCATCATCCATGAATGAATTCTTACAGGCCGGTCCACCCCTGCAGAATTATATGTGGAAGGTAATGGTGAGAGAAAGATTTCGCCCAGTTGCGTTAACAGAAGACTTAAAGAAGGCATTTCTCCAGGTAGAAATACGTAAAGAAGATCTGGATGTGATGCTTTACATTGGTACAAAGATATAAAGACAAAAGAAATAACAACCCTACGTTTCACCAGAGCTCTGTTCGGCGTGTCTCCTTTCCCGTTACTTTTGGGAGCAGTCAACACCTTGACAACCATAAACAGAACCACCCCGACCTTGTAAAAAAGATTAAAGACAGCCTGTACGTCGACAACTTGATCAGCGGGGGAGAAACCATTGTAGCTACAAATGAAGAAATTAAAAGAAAATGCAACAGAAATTTTCACCGACGAGCAGTTTACCTTGCAGAAATGGCACTCCAACGTACCTGAACCAGTAAATCATCCAAGAAATCGAGCTGCATACATTTGCTGATGTCAGCAGTCATGAAGTTGAGGCAATAGTGATGGCCATTGTCCATCAAAAGAGTGGTACGTGGAAGGACCTGGTGGCTACCAAATCTCTTCTTGCAAAGAAACTGGCCATACGACGTCTAGAACTTGTATTGGTACATATGGCAACAAACTTTCTTTATAACGTCAAGGGAGCGCTATATGGGCTTCCAAACGGCAATGTTTTTGGATGGCTGAACAGCACAGTAGCTCTCCATTGGATACGGAATGGTGGAAGTAAGGATTTAAAACAGATATTTGGGAATCAAGTAAGCAAAATACTGCAAAATACTGCATGGAAAAGACCTACTACATCCAGTGGCGACACGTTCCTGGACAAGATAATCCTGAAGATGTGACCAGCAGAGATATTTAAGTGAGTTAAGGATAGGGTCCAAAGTGGTAGACAACGAACGAATATTGGCCAGAGAACATCACAACTACGTACAGCAACGAAAGAGAGTATGGCGGAAACAAAACCTATAGCACAAATATTTGAAACTGCAACCCTGCTGCGTGACGAGTCTGATCTCTGGAAAACCTTGAGAATTTGTGGATGGATCTCACAGCCACAGCTTATTCGGAAAATTAGAAAACAAAGACAAAAGAAGAGCGGTCCATTGACTACAGAGAAAGTTAACAATCGGAGATATTGGTGGCTAAAACGAGTCCAAGCCCGAAATCTAGGCACTGCAAAATTTTGTAAAGATCAAGAGAGGCTGCATCTTTTGCCTGACGAACCTGGTGTCCTAAAATGTTATGGATCAATTCAAAGTGATTACCCTATTTATCTGCCCGACAACGATGTGTTTACAGAAAAGATTGTTTAGCATTAGCATTATGTCACCCTTCTTGGAGGAGCAAGTTTAACAATAGTGAAGGTACGTGAAAGTTACTGGATTCCAAGACTAAGACAAATTATTAAACGATTTATAAAGCGTTGTCACCGATGTAAAAAATTTCAAGCCGTTCCCTATCCAAGCCCTGTCCTAGGAAATCTACCTAGAGACCGCACTAAGTGGCGTTTACTGTTCCAAGTAATTGGTGTGGACTACGCTGGCCCGATAAAGTATCGTAAAAGGAAAAATATTAAAGGAAAAGCCTGGATTGTAGTTTATGCATGTGCAGTCACGAATGAATTACATCTGGAATTAACAACGCCTATGACTTCAAGATTTTCTCATATTTTTCAAACAGTTAATTGCGCGAAAAGGGTGACCAAGCAAAGTTTACTCCGACAATGGCAAGACGTTTGTAGCTGGAGCAAGGATATTAAAAGAAATTATGCACAACGAGAGGTTCAACGAATATTTAGCTAAGTTCAACGTCCTATGCAAAATCAACCTTAGTCGAGGTCCATGGTAGGGTAGTCAGTACGAAAGGTTGATTGGTCTTATCGAGCAGGTCTTTTACAAATCGATCAGCAACGGCTTTCTGACCTCGGAAGAGCTCGAGGAAATAAATTGGGATGTGGAAATCCCCTTAAACCACCGTCTACTCAGATACATCAAAGACAACAATCAACTTCCCTTGCTCACTCCAAATGCCATTCAGTTTGAACTACCAAACATTATTCCAAAGCAAGAAGACCATCGAATTAAGAATAGCGACGCAGAGCAAGGTATATACGACGCTGCAAGGAAGTGCTATGAAAACGGTGGCAGACAGAATATTTGAAGGCACTGCGTGAGAGAGATAACATGAAGCATAACAGAAAAAAGGCAAACTTCAGCATTGGTGACGTTGCGATTATAAAGTGCGAGGAGAAGAATTGACGCAAGTGGAAATTTGGAATTGAAAAGCTGTTAGTAACCGAAAATGATGTTGTTGTACGTGGAGCAAAGCTGAGAGTTGCAAAGAGTATAATCGAACGACCCCTTCAATTACTGAATCTGATTTAATTATCTTACGACGTAACAAAGAAACATGAAACTACCCTCGGACACTGATCTGAATGTAGATTCTCGTGAATTTAAACCAAAGAATAATGCCGCAGAAGTTGCAGATTGTCGGTTACAAGACCAAGTAGAAGAAGAAGACCAGGAAAATTAAGGAAGGGGAGTAATTCTTTCAAACCTTAGGACATTATTATTTCTTAATATAAATAATTTTTATATTGTTTGGTATAAAGGTAGTTTTCTAGTAAATGATTTGTGTTTATATTCGTCTCTAACGGAAAACGGGTAGAGGAGAGTGTAGGGAACTGGGACAATTTGATTTACGTAATTGTATAGTTAATGATTAGCTGGGTAGAATCACGTGAATAAGGGGTATATTACAGACTATATTCAATAGGGATGGACTGTAATTTCGAGACTTTAGTCGATGTGAAACAGTGATAAATAAAACATAACAAAACTTGTGAGTGTGTTGGCCATCAACTTAGCTTCTATAACGTTCCCACACAGGTAAAGCCCAGCAAGACCGGGTTGTATCGAGATACAAACCAGCAACACCGGACAGCATTCAGATACAGCCACGAAGCATGGGGGACATAGGACTGCATCTAAATACATTCCATGAATTTATGCAGTTACGTCAAATACAACCAGCGGACCATCAAAGTAAAACGACTCTAACTTATAATAATATCACATAAATAGATGATTATATTTATAATCGCTGATTTTTATTCATACACATATAAATATTGCTTTTTATGACCGGAAAAGAATTTTAGAATAGATCCAGAAAAGATGCTGTATAACGTTAATATCGATACTCATGATACTTATGTCTTTATAGAAAGGCGACGACATGAGAAAAATTAAAGATGCATGATCATGAAATCTTCAAGATTAAAATTATATCTACATTTAATTTATCGTAATAAGTAAATCAATTATTTCAATGATTATTGTCGTATTTTGTCCATACAATTTTTATTGTGTAGTATATGTAAATAAAAAAATTACAATTCTGCTCACAAATACGGAAATACATGTTCGAAATTGCCGTATTAATGCCTTTTTTATTCGTGTTCAGACTTATCTTCCTTACTTGTTGCAACAGGATTGAAAAGAGGCTTCTGTCTGCTATTCTTTCTTTACTAGCTGTTTAATAAATTTACTCTCCTACTGCTAGAGTTTTTAGAGTGTTTTTAGATGTTTATCATTTTAATAACTCTTATTTTTTAGTACAAAAATTACACGGAAACTTTGCAGTATTGTGGTGTGTGGCAAAAGTTTGTATAAATGAGTAAGTCCGTGTCAGTGATGAAAACTTTCCGTGGGATGTGTAGCATCAACGCTGATTTTATGTTTCATTATTTTCCAGAAACTTTTTATCAGTGCTAAGAAATACCTAAATGCGCAAGTACTACTTTTCTACGAACTGTAAAGGCTTGAAATAGCAGCCATAATGAAATTGCTATAAACATCAAATAGTGTAGAAAGTTCATTAATGCAAAAAAAATGCACTTTTACTGTAATGCTTTTCGTTAGTGCTGGCATAATGTTAACATTCTGAAGTTTTTGTCAGTCTTAAGTATAGAATGTTATGAATTTTGAACCAACCACATTCATATAGACATAGGACAGTGAAGTTGAAAGTTATGGGAATATTTGCCTTCGTATGAAACATGAAATTTTAGATTTATAATGTTTTGCTTATGTTTTGCTTATGACGGCCTGCTAATTAGCACTAACGTGTAACATAGGTATCGAAAAACCTCGCATAGGTTTTGAAAGGCCCAGCACAGGTATTGAAAAACATTTGCTATGACAAACCCAAAAAACATTCTCGTTTTTCATATGCATTGTAAAAATGTAGTAACGTCATTCGTTATTATTGCGTCCTATTTTTTCGTGTTTTACTATTTACATATGAGATATTTTAATGAACGGTTTGGTGAAAGTGTTTGAGTTAACGGTTGGTCATATTGTGGTGAGAGTTGCCCAAAGTATAAAATCTTTGACCATACATACGTGGAAGTCACGCGAGATTACACGCGTAACACATTGCACATAAATAAGGAGCAGTAGCCTGCTGTGAGAAATATTTAAAAGTCTTTATGTTATCAAATATCATCCACGTCAACGTAAGTTGGAGATATTTTTCTGGCGATATATGATCATGATATCAAGAAATATTCCTTCCATCTAATAAAACGGTAAGATAAACATTTTGCATCCCTAGATGGCGACTCGAATTAATTTTAATTTGCGTATCTGTCTAAGTAGAACAAAGACAGTTTTTTATTTAAATTTTACTTTGACTAATGTAGGTAAGATTCGACCTTAAAACTAGCTTGCTTTGTTATTTTTCATAAGCATTTAAACATGATTATTGTCAAACCATAAAATACAACAAACATAAACAAGATATTCAAGTTAGATTTCAAACATTGTATAGGAAATGAATATAAGTGAAGCAAAACATTAAATCACTGTGTTTAACATGATTTGTTCCTGTTCGAAAGTTATTTTTGTCATCGTTTAATCTTAAAATGATCGTTGTAGAGGGTTTTCATCACTTAGTTATGTACATCAACATGTTTTGAACTTTTGATATGGTAAAACTTGTTTACATACAATACTTTATTTCAGAACAACATGTAAATACATCATTACTAAGAAAAAGGAAACCCAGAGGTTAGCCCTATATCAAGGGTCTCCTATTTATGTAAAAAATCTTACAGAACTAGTTAATAAAAAATAAAAATAATAAATAAAAAATAAATAGTAAATAATAAATAAATAAAAATGTCAAATAAGAAACAGCTAAATATCAATTATTAACTGACGATTCAATAAATATTCATGTGTTTCTTCAATTTTGCTTTAAACTCTCAAACGTTAGGGCTGTCAAAATGAAATAAATTAATAGGAAGATTATTCCAGGGTTTGATAATTATAGGAAGATTATTCCAGGGTTTGATAATTAAAGGGAAGATTATTCCAGGGTTTGAAGATTATTCCAGGGTTTGTTTGTTGATATGTGTTGATTTGCTACTGAAACAACATACTAAAGTCAATATTTTACATGTGTTCTTCATCTTTTGTAACTGATCAATGATTGTGGACAATGTGTGGTTGCTAAATATATTTTTGTTGCAAGATTTATCTATTTACTTGGATTCATTCATGTACAGGAAGATCAATAATTGTTGAGTGGGGCTCATATTAATTTATGTATATGATATGTTTTTATTCTTCAGTTGCTAGCTATTTCATGTTGTTTGACTATTTTTTTTTGAATAATAATCTAACCAATGAAAAATGGTTTTGGTCATAAGCGTACAGATTCTTACATCTTTTACACAATTTTAAGTCAACTCTTATAGAAATTATGCCCACCAAGTTTTCATTGTTTTTCTTATTACAATGTTTTGTTGACCATTTTTATTGCTTTCATCACTTTTGTTGACTTCTTGACACACTCCCTTTTTTAACAAGAAAAACTGTGCAGGACTGTATGATAATTGTTAATTTGGAGATCATATTATGTATGCATAATATAGGCTACATGTGTTAAGTTCCTTTGAAAACCATTGTTGTCTAGGGATCATTACATCCAAATGTTTATGTCACCCCAGCCACAGTATAGAAAATATACAGTAGGACCACTTTCTGTGCAACTTACTGCTGTATATATAATTATATTACTGGGTGTAGTTTGCCAGCTCAGTGCACCTATTGGTCAAAAAATGGTAGTGTCTGACTGCTACTATGCTAATCACTTGCGGAATAAGATATGCATGGCACAAAAATATTCAATGCAATCTACTGTATGTTCTCTATATAGTTATACTATATGTTCCCATAACCGTGTCCCAATTACATTATGTCTACCTTAGGTCCTAAGTCGTGAATGAATAAAATAGAATAAAATTTTTTAAAGAATAAAATTTTCAGTGGTGTAGCCAGACTGATAAAATTTTTAGTCCTTCTATGTACGTTTTTATATTCTTTTATTGTGGAAATAATAGGCATTTTACCTTATGTCCCTTCCACCAAAAATTTTTTTAGCAATATCAAATCTGTCAATGGTTTTAAGCCTCGTTGAAGAAAAAATTTTGAATTTGGTCAAATTGTTTGATTTTTGTAAAAACGTTAAATTCACTAAAATCGTATATTCTTGTGAACCATGTCCGTGATAATGAGGAGTCTGAAACTAGCTAATTTTCCCGACGTCGTCCAAGGTACTCGTGTTACACGAGTCGTGTATTCAATTGCTATCAAGTCAATGCTGGCTGAGGCAAAACTTAAGTCTATAAGCGCCTCAAAGCATTGTCTTTGCACTAGTGAAAGCAGAAAAAAGGTAAATAGTTGCGTTGCTATCAATTGTACAAATCAGTCCAACCTTTGCTCTCGTATGAGTCTTCACACTATGCCTTATAATGATAAAAGGCCCGAGGCCAAGCGAAGATAGAATATCTGGGTTTTAAAGCAAAGCGCGTATTTGAGCCTTCCAGTGCTTCAACACTTTGTTCGGCTCGATTAAAACCAGAGGATTTGGAGCGTCAATTTAGTAGTTTGCCGAATAATACTAACGCTAATTTCCCAGGGCTTAAAAAAGATGATATTAGAATTTGTGTCTTTCCGACCATCCATGCTTTGGAGTCAAAATCCGAATCATTATCGCTGAAGTTTCATTGCTTTCCGAGTTTTCTGTCACGTATCCCGGAATAAAGTTTTTGTCAAAATTATCTGACTGAACACTCAATTCTGATTTTGATTCATCGCTTTCTTTGCAAGACAAATAATTAAACAGCGTGAAAGAACGTATATGTTTACTATAAGCTAAATATGCCCGAATGCTGACCATATTGGATGGCGTCAAAATACCTTCTAGTGCCAGTTCCTTTTGTATTATAGAAATCGACGGCGTTGGGCCAAAAATGTACAACTTCAAGATTCCATGAAAGCTTGTTGATTTGACCAAATTTTTGAAATTTTTTCTCAGAAAGGCTTAAAATCGTAGACGGTTGCACGAAGCATGGATAGCACTATTTGTCGGATGGTAAATTTTCAAACTTGTAGAAAAAGGTGTTTATATTTTCCTTAAGAGAAAGAAATTCTGTAATCTCAGAAGCAATATTTTATTTTAATGATTGCTCAGTTAAAATCACATATTATTCCCTTTTAAGAGATTTTGTAAAAATTCTAAACAATTTGCCATCTTATGATAAATCTATTCTGCCTTTATGTAACCGGCCGCAGGTTTTCCTTTATAATCACAATGAATTTGTACCATGGAAGTCTTACCTACTTTTTTTCTACAGGGAGCAGAACATGTCTGTGTTGAGCTCAGACATGAAAACTAATGGTTTTAAGTTGATGAGATTAATTGTTGATGTTGGTGGAGAAGCTTTAAGAATAACATTGAGGAAACAACTTTCAGGTACTGATTTATTTAATGTTTTAAATGACAGAAAAAATTATGATAAGCTTTTGTTGCTAAAAGATAAGCAAATAAAGCAACATCAGTGGGATCAACTGTATCCAGATCCTCCAATATTACCAAATGAAAATAAGTTTGACATTACTTTACTTTGTATACTCCTGCGTAATATTTGTGGCTTAAAACCACCTCGTGATCCAATATGGAAGTCAGTAAATGTCCCCACTGATCATTCAACTGAAGCAGATATTACCCGTATCAGGTTATTTCGTAATGATCATTTTGCTCACTTACCTAGCACTTCAGTAAGCTTTGATGAATTTAAAGATTTTTGGGTTAAAATAAGCGAACCATTAGTTCGTTTAGGAATAAGTCAGCAGGAAATAAATAGAATAACAAGTGAAGTGTATGGTAATGAAGAATATAAAAGAATTTTGAGAGAATGGGAAGAATTAAAGAGTGATATAGAAGTTTTAAAATCAGATCTTAAAGAAATTAAGAGCGATTTAACTGATATTAAAACTGATCAGAGAGGTATTAAGAGAACAGTGGACGGTGTAGAGAAAGGTTTGCAGGAGGTAGAGAATCGCTTGTGTGTGATTGAAAGTAAACAGGAAGAAATGCAAAGTAATCAGGAAGAAATGAGAAGCAATCAGAAAGAAATTAAATGTCCGATTCACTCACGTCCAGTAGAAGATATTTTGAAAACAAACCTTGTAAGTTGTAACTTTGAAAGTGAAATTAGACATCATTATGAAAAATTTTTAAAGGGAACACGGCAATGGGTTTTTGATGAGTTTTTAGCTTGGTTCAAAGACGACAGTTCTGAAAATCGTGCATTTATTATTTCTGCTGTTGCTGGCATGGGAAAGTCTGTAATTGCAGCTACTTTATGTAAACGTTATCCACAATATTTGACTGCAGTTCATTTCTTTCAACACAACAACAGTCGTTACAATAAAGCCAATGTACTTCTTCAATCTTTAGCGATGCAAGTTAGTCGTCTTTTTCCTGCTTACAAACAACTTCTTGTGAAAAAACTTTCAGGTAAACTCTCTGAGCCTTTGAATAACATGAATGTTGAAGGATTATTTTCCATTCTTTTTACTGAGTTATTTGTTACAATTTCGGAGTTTCCTAAGCGAATGCTAGTGGTGTTGGATGCTCTTGATGAATGTGGTTATCCAGAAAGAGATGACCTTGCTTATTTGATTGCTAATCACTTACACAAACTTCCACCTTGTTTTCGCTTTGTAATTACCACCAGACCTAACGAAGTTGCTTTAAATAAGTTCGAAAAATTAAATCCACTTTTCATTAATTGTAGTGATGATCGCAATTTAGGGGATATTAAATTTTTGATTGAACAAAGAATTGGCGCTATTGACACCCTTCTTGATTTGAAAGATATTTTGGTAGAAAAAGCTGACGGACTTATGTTGCTTGCATCGCTTCTTACTAGTGAAGTCAAAAATCAGGATTTGTGTAATGCTTTCATACCAAAAGATCTCAATGAATATTACGAAATTAGCTTAACAAGATTAAGTAAGGAATTATATTCGTTTGATATCAGTAACGAAAAGTTTCAGTCAATTTTAAATATTTTGGCTGTTGCTAAAGAACCTCTTCCTTGGGAAATGATCGATGACGTTCTTTGTTGTAATTCGAATCGCGAATCACTTGGGGTTAGAAAAATTATCTCTTGTCTGTTTGTTACCAATGAAGAAGGATGTGTTTCGATTTTTCACAAATCCTTAAATGATTGGT